CAAATTCAATTATATGCATCTTTGATGGTAGAGAATTTCAAGTCGGACATATGTATTTTTCTTATTATGTTCATCCCGTATGCCCGCCTCGTAGCTTTAAATGCACAATTTAACATGAACACGTAGCACGTGTATTCAAGACTATTAGAGCTTCTACCTCATATGCATAAACGATCACTATTTGCGATCTCCGATTAAATATTTTATTTTTGGGGGCTTTAATATAGTTACGGTTTTATGCATACATTAGTAACATGATTACCAATTTGGAGTAAATTCAAAGTGTGATTTTTACACAAAACATGAAAAATGGCCACTGAACTTGATATGCGTCTTCGAGTAGCAGACATGTTGGGGTTAGAAGAATTAGAAATGATGTCACGCATTTGCGGCTTTTTAGTACAAACATATTTCACATGTTATCAGAAACTATCAGATATATTTGAATTAATATAGTTCCTAAGAATCTTTCAAGTACTATAATGTAAAACCAATTAAAGATGACCATCTCCGGTATCTCTAATACCACAACTGACCATCTAACAAATTTATTTAATATCTATGAATTCCTAAAACAAGTTCCACTATTTAATTCTGTAGATTAGTAATTTCTAATGAGTACCGGAAATTGTCCATTCACTAACTGAATGTAAGAACACCACTTGTTATTGTTCTATAAATAGAATCGGGGCTCAATCTACAACATGCACATGTTATGTTAATTTCCTGGTGCATGGGGCTTTATGTCCGTGTACAGTGTGCGTTTACATCTTGCTTTAGTGTCCAAAATTCAATTAAAACTTAATTGTTAATGTTCATTTCTCAAGTAATGTTAATAACAATATTATGAGACATGTCAGATGTCAGACGTTTGAGATTATATTCACTTCAATGCAGCGAACGTTATATAGCAATTGAATTATTATATTAGAAAACAATAATATTTCTGTAATGTGTACAAGTACATCATTCTGGTTAACTCGCTTTAGAGAGTTGTCTCCCAATCATTTACATATTTGTTCATTTATTTATTCGATTATTCGTTACATGATTGTGCTTAATACCTAGAGTTGTTGGTGAATATACCATTCTATTACTCTATTTATTCGTTTCGTATATTTCATGTACGGTTCTAACAATACATTGTAAGTTCACACCCGTGGGTTCGCTCCATTGATCGAATAATCCACGGAGCACAGCTGGCTTACAAAACAATATATGGATTTGAAATTTACACGACCCCGACGAGGGCAACCCAACATTATCTACTAGTGTACAGAACAGCATTCTATGTTTAGGTAATTTTGGCGGGAAATGCGATCGTTTATTCACCTGGATACAAGTCTTTGTTGTTGGGGTATCGGAATTATCAGGGAGAGTTATCGAATACAAGGATAGTTATGTTAGCTGCTCCGTTCTGAGTTTCTATGAAAAAGCTGTCCGGGAACTGATAGTGTTATATATTGATTGTACGGATAGTGCTTTCGGTTCACACTTACTCTCATAAAGAATACGTTGTATCATTTCTGTCAAGTCTTTTTATGTCTAATCTGACGAATTCAACGTCTAACGTGTGTAGTGACTGTGTACATTGTCATCTTAAGGACACACCAGGTTAAAGTCATTTGAATCGTCAAAGCTCGTTATCGATTTGAAAATACCTTGCTATGTTATGAGCTACAATACCAGAATACTGATGGCAAAGTGGGATGGTGCTGTGTTTGACATTCATCTGTCTGTATGGCTGCTGTGTGTCCGTCTGCGTGTAGGCCTTCTTCTTAAAAAACTGATCATTCAGCGTTCAAAAGATGATGTTTGATATACCTTGAGTTGGTAATTTGTTCACAAAAGCCCGTTGTTTCCGACTACACTAAAATCCACAGACAGATGTCATCTTCAATGGTACGCCTTTTTC